TCGTCAGGGTATAAAAAGCTTTAGCTGGTCCGCTAATTTGTCAGCATTGGCTGACCGGGGTATGGGGAACTGCTGGCCTGTAATTCTACGAAATCGGCTTTGGGCCATTTGGGGCCAAAGAGGTGTCAATGCGCGAAGAATTCGAATGCATTTGATGAGTAATAAGCCGTGCAACAGAGGCAGAGATTCATTTTCAGTTTCAGGTCCCATGAAATAAAGTGAAATGCGAGGTGATAAATTTGAATGGCTAATTGAAAATGCCGCACAATTATGGAGATTGATCAGCGCGGACGCGCGAGTTCCCACCAATTCCAACACTCAATTCACTTTTTCTTCTTCTTCAACTACTTCTTCGACTTGGGCTTCAGCTTCATCTTCTTCAGTCATAAAACCCGAAAGTGCCATAAAAACATCTTTGCCAATACCAAATGGCTACCGAACAGAATGGCAGCCCACACACGGCCCAACCGTTTGGTCATGGGCCTTTTACGACACTCTACGACACGTAAATGGAGCTGCAGGGGCGAGGGGGCATGGAAGGGGGAGCAGCTGGGTTGGGGTGCTTTAACCTAAGTGTAGATGGCACCTCCATTAGCTTTGCATGCAGCACATTGGCATGAACAAGAAATATATGTGCTACCTTTTTTCTTAACAATCTTAACAGGGTATGACAACTATCGAAGGACCTTTGTCGAAGCTAACTCTAAACGCAGATTCTGATATTATCGAAACGAATTTGTGATAATTTGTAGTTAATATTAACTTAATCGGTGCTGATATAACTTTAAGTTTCTTCAAAACAACTTTGTTTGATAATAAAGATAAATACACATTCCATAGAAGTCCTGCTTGACTTAAAGAAAGTAATTTTCCATAATGGTCAAGAAAAACGTGCTCGAATTAAGTAACAAATCTTAAAACAAGCATTTACAGGCTTGAATTAAGCACAATATATTTAAAGCGAGCACTAACCTGCTTAAAACAAGCGTAAAATTTTCTAAAAGTAAATAACACTCCTCATTCGTTATCTTAAAATAAGAATTTTCTGCTCACTTTAAACACATTCCACTTTAACAGGGCTTTTCTTGCTTTAAACAAAAACTTATTAATTAGAAATTAGATATTTTTCATTCCATAACGTTTCATTCTGTTTTTGTGAGTGTATTCAATGTGCGTTGCTGCGGGCTTTGTTTTGCATTCCCTGGCTTAACATGCGTTACTTGGTGTCCGGCCCTTTAGGAAAATTGTTATTTACAACCTTAATCTGCGCAAGAAATGTATTAGAGAGCAGGGCAGAACGTAGCGCTACGGTTTGGACACGGCTCCGAGCATTGGGTAGGCGCAAAGTGTTTACAAACAAAAGCGCAGCCACAATTAGCATACCAGCTAGATGCGCCAGCCGTGTGGCCAAGTCGTGGGATTGCCAACTGGCCGAGGCTGCGATTCTTTTTATGACAGGTTAATGACACCCCGCCAAATGACTAAGTAGACGCTGCAGTTGTTGCAACTAAACAGAGCCGAGATGAGCTCAGTTGTGCTGAGTTGGGTTGAGTTGAGTTGTGGCTAGGTATTAATCAGCACTGGGAGCGACTGACCCCAATAGAGAGCACAACATGGCAGCAGCAGGAGCACCAGCAGGCACAGCACATCCTTCACCCAGACAAAAGGCGTATCAATCAATTAATTGAGCATTTGCCACACAAGTTCAACGAACCTCAAACCCAGCAGCAGCAGCAGCAACAACAGCAGCTGAAGCGGAAAAACGCCAACAACAACAAAAGCAGCAGCGGTAGCAGGACCAGGAGCGAAGGGTTGACAGCTGGACAATGTATGCATGACTGAATGACTGAATAAATGAATGAATGACAGCATCAGCTAGAACAGCTATCTCAGGGATGATGAAATATAAATATATATACATTTCCAGGCTTTTGGAGTATAATAAAGCTTTTGATTGTCATTATATATAAAACTGCATATCCTGACTGACTGATTGACTCGCTGACTGATTGACTGATTGACTCGCTGACTGATTGACTAAGTGAATATTGATCGATGTACAATAAAGCTTCTGATTAGCTCTTTATATAAAACTGTTTGTGACGGACTGATTGACTTACTGATTGACTGACTGACTGATTGGTGTTCGAAGTATAATAAGGCTTCCGATTAACACTGTTGGTCCCTACTGACTGATTGACTGATTGACTGACTGACTGACTGACTGACTAACTGACTGACTGACTGACTAACTGACTGACTTACTGACTGACTGACTCACTGACTGACTAACTGAATAACTGGCTGATTGATGACCGATGTATAATAAAGCTTCTGATTATCAATATATATTTGTCCTGACTGACTGAGCGACTGAATGCTGGATTGACTGACTGATTGATGATTGAAGTATAATAAGGCATAAGCTGACTGACAAAAGAGTTCTCAAATTTCAAGTAGCACCACTGGGAGTCGAGTTCACATGCAGTACATGCGGAATTTATGTAGATACTTTATAGGTTTAAAGATACTTCACAGCATATCGTCACAAAGTTAGCATAGTTCCTTTTCAGGATATTACGAGTGACAAAATGATAGAGCAGCTGTTAAGGACAAGGCGGGGCACAACTTGAAGGGCTAATCTATTTAAAGTCCTTGTTGCCCGACTAAAAACAACAACTAAACCAATTAACTGAACTAAAACTTAGGCATTGTAGGCTGCTTACCTAGGGCTCGACGTGGGGATAATCCTTTTAAGTTTTTCGGGCTCACGGGGTGCGGCAACAGCGACAACAACAACACGCGAGTTGGAGAGAGCAAGAGCGAGGCATAGAAAGAGAGAAAGAGCGAGAGAGAGAGAGAGCGAGCTGGACACGAACCGAAAAAAACACTCGCTATACTTGAACAACTTTTGGTCTTTGGGTGGGGTCCGCGTTTTCGAAGTCAATTTGATTTCCGCCTTTTTTCCAAGTTTGGAGTTGCCGCGTTTGGATATTATTTTATTTATACACAAGTATTCAAATATGTCGAATATATATATATTTGATTAGAGTTATTGGAAATGCGGCACACTAGCTACAAATATATCTATTTTCGGCTAAGGGTGGTTTTGAACTTGCCGGAAAAAAGCCGACGCCAAAATTTTCAAGGGTGGCACAAGCCGGCGCGCGTGCGATAAAAAGCGCGTACTATGCGATTAACTAAAACTATATAATATATATACTTATATATATATATATAATCTATCAAAACAAGTGCCTGATTTAAGGAAGTTTGGTTGCTTTGCTAATATTGGGGAAATGCGTTGCTGGGCAAGGCGTTTTTTTCGGCTTAACTCGTAGGAAAGATTGAGACACGTCCGCACGCGACGAGGCAACGCTAGAAACTCCAGAGTCCCGAGTCCCGAGTCCAGAGCGCACGGCCACTGAACTTCGTCAGGATAAAATATGCTGGCAGGCTGGCGTGTTTTCCAATTGGAATTCGCCAAACGGGATAACTCTACAAAAGGAAAAACAGCGCGACGGGGGGAACGGTTTGTCGTCTATCGTATTTGCCGGCACTGGAATCCAAACAGCTGCTGAGCTGCCGAGCCGAGCTGTGCCTTAGCTAGCTGCAGGGTGTGTTTGCTGCTGCCAACCACAAAGGTCCTTGGAGACTGGAAGGATACACGAGGCGGGCGGCGCGCTCGGCACATCCGCCCGATTGTCGCATTTGTTTTGAAACGAAGCGTTCGCTCGGGCAGCTGTGCTCCCATTCACACAACACGCACGCACGCAACATCCCTGCACACACACACACACACACAGGCACGCACACACGTACACGGACACACCTACCCCTTACTCCAGCTGTGCCTATCTGCAACGCAGATACCGTTAGGTGCTGCAATAACGACGCAATAAATGACGAAACCATGACAACAAGCCGAGACACCCACTTAAACATGAATAATAGCCAGTCATAGCACCCCTCCCCCGCCTCCCACCCCCTTGCAGCACCTTCTACGGCTGCCATATGCAGAACATCCCTACGGCTAGCTACAGCTGCCTTTGTCCCACAGCAGTTCAGCCGGAAAAAGAAGCTATTCTTAAGGTAAAGAAAGCCAGAGAGAGAGAGGGAAGAGAGGGAGAGTGAGTTATTAAGATAAAGAGAAAGAGAGTGGGTGAGAGATGGAGAGAGTGTTAGAGCGTGAGAGAGAGAGAGAAAGAGAGAGAGAAAAAAGAAGAGAGAGAGAGAGAGAGAGAGAAAGAGAGAAAGAGAGAGAGAGAGAGAGAGAGAGAGAGAGAGTGATATAGAGACTGAGACATAAATAATGTAAAATAGAAGTTATTTTCAAATTGTTCTTAAAGATCTGGAAATATTATAAAGTAGCTTTCTTGATATAGAAGCTAACTATAATGAGGATCAGCTGATCGACTATATACTATCCTTTGATCACAATCGCAACTTATTTAGCCACGCAATTATGAAATACCCTGCAGCGAATTTGTTTACGCCTACAACTTTGTCTCGAGGCTTTTCAACTAGAAACTGCTCCCAAAAAATGTTGATCGCAATCAGAAAATTGGCTTAAAGCTGTTCGACTACGAAATACCCTGCAAGCAAGTTTAAAACTTGACTGTATACAAGAACTGGGTTGTAACACAGGATAATAATTGATGGCAATGATGAACACATATAATTTCCGTATATTAAAGAAATTTGTTCTTTAGAGTTTTCTACTATACACTTTTCAATAGGGAATAACTTCTAAATTTAGAATTTGCTCTGTTCGAAAAGTCGTATATAGATTGTATTTGCAGCATTTTAACTTTCTCCCTTACATTCAACACATTTTCAAAGCTCAGCATGTGAATTATATAAAACTATTTTGGACAAATTCACTTTACTAAGCGGAATAAGAGTGGAAAGTGAAGATTGAATAGATATTCTTATAATTTCCAGAAGTATGCTTAGCACATTTATATTTTTAGCAAAGCCTGTCAAGAATGTTCACTCACCTCGCCATTCTCCACATCGTAGTAGCACAATGTACGCTTTGTCAGTTCGAACCAGCGATGTTTGTAGTTGACGGGCGTGAAACGCTTCTTGTTCTGGGCACGCTTCACCATGGAGCCGCTCTTGACAATATCGTACAGATGCTCCGACATTTTGTCCATTTTGGCCTGATAGGATTTGCTGCTGGAGCGCAGCGACAAGGACGACTTGATGCTGCCATGTGAGCTGCGCTGCATTTTGCTGCTCAGCATCGCGCTGCGGCGCAACAGGAAAGGGTATCTGGAAAGATGAAACAAGAGTTGTTATCGAGCCATAAAGTCATGTTAATGTTATGGCCAAAAATTGTTGGCTTACAAGAGACAACGCCTCGTCACATAAATCAGAGTCAAGCGAACACAACCTGTGGGCGTGCGAATCTCATGCCATTGACCGTGGCCAAACCGAGTAGCCGGCTAATTGTTGTGGGCGTTGCAACGCATCAGGCATCAATCAGAGAGGGGACTCGGCCTTTGACTGGGCCAGAGCAAATCGAGCGATTAAATGGCCAATTAATTAGCCAACAGACTAGGCGGAAGACAGGCAACAGGCGGTCAGCTGACCTTGACTCCGACTCCGACTCCAGAAAACCAGTTGCAGCCTCCAGAGAACTGTGCGGAGAACTGATTAAAGGATTAGCCCAGTGTAAGCTGATCATCGCTTGACCAGTTCAACAGTTGCCAGCGAAGCGTGTGCACAAACAAATGGCTCGTTGGCACCAGTTCCAATATGCAGACAAGAATAAATACGCATTCACATATACACATATACAATATAACAGTGTGATCGACGGGTCTATACCCTGTATGTAAGGCAGAAGCTTCTCTTTCAAGCATCAGAGTTTGGATCCTCTTGCAATCGATATTTATCGAATTTGATAAAGTCATGGAAGTATTCAAAAAAGGGATATACTCTTGACCTTTGAATGGCATACTAAATGCAACATGCAAAATTTGGAGTATTTATCGCTGATAATCTTCAAAAATGTCAAGGCTCGGATATCGATAAGTATTGAATTTGACAAAAAGAGAATTTATCGATAACAAAGACGGGTTTATCATATAGACAGTAAGAAGTAAGAATTCCCTTGCTCTATGATCTACATCAGTTACATATATCTTCGGCATGCCCCTTTTCACCCATCTTCAATAAGTACAGGGTATGCATATGAATATATGCATACATACATGCATATGTAGAGCTATGGAATTATCGCACTTCAACAACAAAAGCTGCATGCGGCTGCGCATGGAAATCAACAAACAAAAGCGACAAATGCACAACAACAACAACATAAACGACGGCAACAACAATAACTACAACGCCTGCGTCCCTCTCCACCCGCCTGGCCGCTCCCACTCCCTTCCCTGGTTCATGCGTGGCACTTTAATCAAGCAGAGCGTTGAGAGCGCACATTTGCCCATAAGTAACCAGCAAGAGTTATAGAGATTATTTATATAGACTGGGCAAATACCCTATAAAAGGTAATTTAGGCTTGTTTAACTTTAACTTTGGATTAAGGCATAACTCTATATTAGATTGATTCGCGATATTCAAGCTAGGAATTGAAACTTGTTATTATTATCTTGTTACTAAATTTATTTATTGGTTTTATCTTTCAATAAGATACATAAGTACATTGTTTAACAATATACTCATTGTGCTAAGTACTTACAACAAACGATGCTAGTGAAGCTTTTCAATGTTAAAAGTATCGAAAGGGTTGCCATACTTTCGGCTGACACACGCATACCCATGCAAATACTCAAATAGCCTGTATATCGTTCGTTGACCAACATTTTCGGTTTTAATTAGGATAAGTACTTACTAGCAATAATTTAAATTAACAAGATAAAAATGGGCATAGGCAAATACAAGTGCTGTTTTAACAAAATCGCAGGGTATTATAAAATAAACACCGCAAAAGGATCGCAACTGCGACTGCGACGCCGCATACATAAATCTTGGCCTGAGGCCTGGACAGGGAATGGAGACGCAGACGTCAGATGGCGACCGGGGCTGGACTTGGGATAGCAGCAGCAGCAGCAGCAGACAAAAACAGACAAGAGCCAGCGCGTTTTGGCAAAGCGGGCGTGGCCATGGCCCTGGCACAAACACACACACACACACACATACACACAGGCTAGCAGGAAAGATTTAGTCGCCGACGACAACTTTGAATTTCGCCACGCAAATGGCTGCATTTTAGTTTTCATGCGGTTTGCTTATTATTGCATTTTTTGCAAATGTTTTGGTTTTTCTGTTGATTGCCGCTATTTTTGTTTTTTTTTTTTTATTTTGTTTTAAACATTTAACGAGGGCGGCTGCGACTGCGTTGGCGTTTGACGCGCTGCGCGACCTTTGAAAGAATTTTAACGAAACGCAACCAAAACGAGTTTGCAGCTTGAAAGCAGAAAAAATCAAATGAGAAACAAAAAAAAATGAAAAGAAAACAACTCGAAGGCAAGTGAAAAAAAAACATAGTCTGATTGGCGCAAGTTCTTATTGGATCGATGGGGTATTCTTATCAGCTGCAAGCGCAACTGTAAATTCTAGTATTGGTTTTCCGTTGTATTTTTATTTTTTGCATCAGCTCGGCTCACATTTCAATGTGCTGATAAAACATAAAAACCAAACAAGAACAAAGGCAATCAAAATACTTTCAAGCTGCAATGAAATTCGAGCAGCAGGAAGAGAGAGAGGAGAGAGAGAGAGCGGGAAATAACTGTGCCAAACTTACCACAAGTGCCGTTGATTGGGCAATTGAAGCAATGACCGATCGAAGCGCGTTGAACGAAATAATAACAACAAATCACTTTCGCTTAAGCGGCGCGCACGCTCAACAAAGACGACGGCGATAACAATGAATGCGACGCGACCGGCTTTGACAGCATTTGCATACTGCTCTCCCTGAGTAGCAGGCGAAAAAATTATAAACAATTCGGAGGAGGCTCAGCTGTGCACACACACACACATACGCACACAAACATATGAGGATTTCACACACAGACACGCAACAGGCGGCGATACGATTTGCCAATTCCCGGAACAGCAAGTGCCGTTCGACGAGCTCAAGCTAACGTCGCACGTACTTTGACTAGATGTGTATGGCAACTTGTGTTGGCGCGTTTATTTCTGTGCAACTGCTTAATGCTAACAACAAATTATTATTAATAATAAACGCGCAGTTGTTCTGTGTTGCGAACGCGCCGACGCGACGGAACTTTAAAACGCCTATCGATTAATTGACTACGCGATGCAACCCGACAACTGATATCGATGCTGTGCAAAACGAGTACTATCGGCCGACCACCACATATAAATTGCAGTGTTGCCCACAGTTATCGATCGCAGCGTTTGAAAATGTTACAACAAAATATAGCTAAAATGTATATTATATTGTATGTTATCAAAACTTTTAGTATAAAAATGTCAATTGTTTTCCTACCATGTAGTGAAGGTTATTACTCAAAGATTTTAGTATCTCTTTTAATAGCTTTAGATTATATATATCTAGAATATCCCAAATTCACATTAAATACGTTGACTCTTTGAAATAATTAAAACACAAAATTCAAGATTTTTAAAATACTGTGCACTTAATTTAATAAGTTATTTAGTTTTAGTTTTTAGTGAACAAAAGCAATTACACAATTAAATGCGCGCCCTTAGCACTAGGTTCGACGTTTCATCTATCAATTCTCCTTCTTCTGGCTAGCAGCAACCCGCCAAGCACCCACCATATATCTCAGCCAGATCATGAACAAATCAATGCCCATTTGTAACCATGACCAGAACGGCGACAATTTCGAGCCCTCAATTTCGGTCCATCGCACAGCCACCTCCGACATGGGCAACTGCAGACGCTCGGCCAGATAAAGCAGCTCCACGTCAAAGGCCCAGCGCTGCACATGCAGACTATTGAATAGTTTGCGCGCTGTGGAACGCGTAAAAAGCTTAAAGCCGCACTGGGTGTCCCGGACAGAGCGCACGGCAAAAATCCAGACAAGCGTATGAAAGCCGTGCATCAGTATGGTGCTAAATAAAGATAATTTCAATTAGGATTTGATGCCAATAATATTAACTATCAATGTTATCATTTCTAGCCAAAACTTGGCAATTTTATGTGACTGTCAGCCGGAAATAGCAAAAATTGTGACTGATTTAGCTACTTTTAGCAATTCAATTACCGCCAATTTGTGTTTTGGCTACTTTCAGTAACTGTCAGCCGGAAATAGCAAAAATTATAGCTGATTTAGCTATTTTTAGCTATTTAATTACTGCCAATTTGTGTTTTGGCTATTTTTCTAGCTATGTTTAACACTGGATTCGGCGACAGTTGACAACACTGACTTACCGGAGAAAACTGCGCGTAGCAATCGATTCATCCTCCAGATGAGCACGTGACCCAATGGCAATGCCATCGTGTCGCCATTCGGGCGCCAGGCTGGACAACGCCTCGGCCAGCTTATCATAGTCGGCAAACTTGGTGGCACCGTCCGCGTCCGCGAAGAGCAGCTGACGACCGCGCGCGCTTAGCATGCCCAGCCGTACGGCGCCGCCCTTGCCGCGATTCTCCACCAGCTCCAGCACACGAAACTTATCAGCGCCATGGATCTTGGAGTATTTCAGCGCAACGGAAACCGTTGCATCGCTGCTGCCGTCGCTGACCACAATCACCTCGTAGCTAAAGTCGGGCTGCAGTTGCGACTTTTGTGCCAGAAAGGCCATGCACTCGTCCAACATGGCGGGCACTGTGTATGGAAAATAAGTCATGTGATGAATTACTCATAGGGATCAATCAAAATATAAAAAGATAGAGAACGTACGGCGCTGCTGCTCATTGTAAGCCGGCACAATGACGCTCAGCTCCAAGGTGGGCGGGTCGTCCAAACTGGGAAATGCAATTGTTTTGATCGTTTCGGGATCCAAATAGAACTTCTCATCCTTGTAGCGCTTTATGTTCGGATACGGTTGCGTTTTGTACAGCAAAACAATAATCGTCTGGAAAATGTGCAAAAAGTTATCATCAATCAATGTCGTTCGCTGCGGCTATCGCTTTTATTTACATACCAGGAACGCGGCTAGAGCGGTTAATCCCAATAGGTAGCCGCACAGCTGCAGCAGTAGGGCCAGCATTTTGACAGCTGAATGTTAATTTAACTAACGGCTATCTTTGGGTTAACATAACTATTTGAATTAGCGCGAAAATACGAAAATAAAGCCACGTATTTTGTGCCAACTTTGCGTTAGTTGGCAGCTGATAGCAATGCGACGAACACAACAAGCGTCTATCGATACCGATAGATATCGATATATTTATGGCAACAGCGCTGCCAGACTGCTGCAGAATATCAGCCATTTTTTACGTTCAATTCGAATTTGAATTTATTATCGCACGCTTTAACTATATCCATATGCGCACATAGCCATTTATTGATTATTTATTTATTCGGGTAAACGTAACCGACCTAGCTCAACAGGTATTTTGGTGTCTGGCGAATGCGTGCATTTACTGCGCCTGCGCTCTCAACCGCGCTGCCAGCCAGATACACACTTGAACAATTTTCAGCAGCGTCTGTTTTTTGGTTTAATAAAATGTTTTTGTAATTTAAGCAAAAATAATTCAAAATGCAATTACTAACACTGCTCATGGTTCTACTGGCCGTGGCCAGCTGCAGCACGTATAAACTGCATTTGGAGGCAAATGTTGGCGAACTGTTTACGTATAAAATCGAGCCGCAGCTCTTCAATTGGACGCACCAGGTGATTAGCGAACAGTTTCGCTATCGGCCCTCGCTGCAGCATTACCCAGATTTGCCCAGCTGGATGCGCTATATGTATAGCCACGAATACCATGCGGGCTTCCTCTATGGCACCCCGCCGGGCACCGCAGCTGGCAAATCCCTTCACCTGGATCTGGTGGCACTCAATCGCCAGAACTATGAGACACGCCAGATGGTCATCTCGTTGTTTGTGGCGCATAAGTTCATTACGCCCAATGTGGTGCAAATGAAAATCGATAATCTCAATTGGGTGCATCTCATGGATCCGGGTCGCGTGGAGAACTTACGCAACATCTTTCGCAAGGATCTCTGGCCGAGCAGCAAAGAGGATTTGAGTGTGGTTTTCATGGAGTCGGCGATCAACATGGGCGGACGTTTGCCGCTGCGTCCGCAGCAGCGTGAGGGGTGAGTCCAACAGTTTAATTTATAGACAAAATAATCATGTCCAATCTTTGGCAGCGTCATTGTGCACGTTGGCAGCTTTGCCCAGTTCTCGCCACGTCTCAAGGAGCTGCAGGAGGAGGTGCGTCCGCTGTACAAGCTGCCCTCGTGCACCTACAAACGCACCTCCGTCCAAAAGATATTCGAAAATGTCGGCTTCAAGCTGGACTGGTGCGCCTTCAAAATGGTGGGCATGGAGTCGCCCACCGAGGTGCTCTATCACAACAATCACGCCAGCGGCCGGCCAAAGGAGCAGCTGAAGGAGCACCATCAACAGCAGCAGCAGCATCAGCGCAGCGAGGAGGAACGCTGGCTGGGCATTCCACGCGAGGATGTGCCCATGCGCAACTATATCGATGAGTTTGCCTTCGCCTTTGCCATACCAGGCATGATTCTCGCCGTGCTCGTTGGCATACTCTCGGCTGTGCTCTGCTTTCAGCACCAGAAATTGTAAGTCCCATGGAATGGGATATTATGGAGTCATCTCCATGTCAGCCTACCTATTTATATACTTATTTTCTTTTAATTTGATTACATTTTATCGTTTATTTCCTTATTAGTTACGATCCGTATTCCGAGTTATTCTTTGAGAATATTTTTTACATATGCGAAGAGTCCTGCGCCCGAACGCCAAGCGATTCGGAGGATGATAACGACAGGTTAATTATGATTTGAATGTTTCACATTATACACGCACATTTCTATTGGACTTATAAAACCATTCTTTATACCTTTACAGCTCCCTGCATATAGACTATCCCATGTCATCCACCGTGCAAATGGTTCAGTGCTCTGATACAAAGCCCATGCAGCCGGTGACAACGCTGAAGAGTCTTAAGGATCCCAATTTTCTGCTGGACAACACAAGCATGCGTTCCCAAAGGTATCTAGTGCAGCATTCCTTCATTATTCCTTTCACTATATATCTTTTCAATTGCAGTCCAAACAATAGCTTGTATCAGCTGGACACTGGCGGCTCCGGAATCTATGCACGGCCCAAGCCGCCACCCTATAAGGGCGGCACTTTGGGACGCAATGGCGTGGACATTTGACAAACATCGCCGCGAGTGCTCTACTGCTAAAGGCGCTTCATTTAAATCAAAAGCAATACTCATAAAATGCAACTGCAATTAGCCGGCAGCCAGTACCAAGGGGCCGGGCATATCGTAACCGCATCGAATTATGCATATCTATCAATTATCTAGCGTTATGCGTAGCAAATTTAGTTTAATCTTTAGCTTTGTTGCAAATAAATAGCAATTTTGTAGTAGAAAACTAAGTGCACAATAGCTTACCTATTCAAAATACGCGCCTAATTAACAATGCAGCCCTGCACATTTGCCATCCACATATGTGCGCGCACATAGCTGCTGACGGGCGCATATATATCGGCGAGTCAATGGCTTATTCAACATGATCATTCTATTACTATTATTACTTATTACTATTATAAGCATTTATTTTGTAAGATAGTTAGCTTTTTAAAACTGTTTATTCAAGCAAAAGTTTATGTATTTTAAACGCGCGCCAACCCAAACTGAGCAGCCCTACACATTTGCCATTCACATGCAAGCGCGTGCATTGTTAGGGTCGTTCGCTCCTGATAAGCGGTGAAAGTCGTGGCCTAATCGCTTTCTATTTCGTTTAAAATTGTCAATTAAAACCTACGTGTTATTCAAAATGGTGCTGTCACTGATTAGCTCCCTGGAGGAGCTCATCGATCAGTACAAGATAAATCTGATTCAAGTGATTTTCATCGTTTTCATTGTGACCATCGTCTTGCTGGGCAGTTTAATGACCCTGGTGGAATCGCATCTGCCCAACTGCGTGCGTCAGTCCTTTCGCTATGGGAAGCACAGTCATAAGGGCGAAACGGACGCACTGATCAGTCATCTGGAGGTGCCCAAGGCCTGGTTCAGTCATTTCTATATATTCGCCTTTGGCTGGTCTCTGCTGGCGCTCTATTTCATCAGCAGTTCCATCCTCACCCAGACTGCGGCGCCGGAGTACGTGCTACGCTTCCTGGACTTCATGTGCGGCGGACGCACCCAGCGCCAGGTGCTGGTGGATTCGAACACAGCGTTCATCGGAACTGTGCTGCTCACCGTGCAGTGTGTGCGTCGCTTCTACGAGACGAATTTCGTGCAAATCTTCTCCAAGCGCAGCCGGATGAATCTCTCGCACTATGCCGTTGGACATATACACTATTTTGGCGCCATTATCTCGCTGCTGGCCAATACGGCAGGCTTTGTGCGCGGCTCGAAGCCGGCGCCGTTCAACCTGTCCAATATCAGTCTGCTGCAGGCAGCATATACGCTCGTCTTCCTCTTCGCCTGGCTGCAGCAGTATGCCAGCAATATGCTGCTGGTGCGGCTGCGCAGGGATGCCAAGACGGGCGCCGTCCAGACGGAGGCGCATCTGCTGCCCAGCGGCGGCTGGTTCAATTTGATCTCCTCGCCGCACATGTTCTTCGAGGTGGTCATGTACTATTGCCTCGCCGATCTGTTTACGCCCATCAGCACCTGGAAGCTGATCTTCCTGTGGGTGGCCAGCAATCAGACGATCAATGCGCTGCTCACCCATCAATGGTACAAGGAGAACTTTAAGGACTATCCCAAGCAGCGACATGCCATCATACCCTGGCTGCTGTAGGCTTCAATTGGAAATTGTTTTACTAATTTATTTGTGGCATTTATTATTAAACTCGTTTTACACACACACAATGTGCTTGCTGTTGTTGTTGTTTTTGTCAATTCGAACTATATAAAACGTGAACGTTCCACTTGAACCTATCTTTGGGCGTCAATTGATTTTACTTAAACAAGAAACTGCAAGCGAGAAACAATTAAAGGATGGCCGGAATTACAGCTAGCTGGACTTACCTATAAGGATAACCCTGCGCCTTGGAACGGAATACGGATAGCAAAAAGGAGAAGAATACGGTTAACAATACCAAACCAGCCATGGCCATCATGCGGTTGCGATTGTGCGCCTTCGGTGTGCCCGACTCGATGAGCAATATCATGCCCAGCACAATCATGGCATCTGCAAAGTACCCAAAGTTAATCTCGTTAGCAGTCAGCAAAAGCAGTTTAAGTAAATCCCAGAACTTACTCAAGAACATGACAATGTACGTCTCCACGACCAGCTGGCCCTGGGACGAGCCATGGATGTAGGCAACGCCGCCGTTTTGTGTCTTATGCACCAGGGGCGGTCCGCGTATGTGATTCCACATCTGGCCCGAGATCATGGCGAAGCAAAAGAATACTGCAATTGCACCCCACAGATTCTTGTTGTACAGGAACTCCAGATTGTTGCGGCGAATATACAAAAAGCTGCCCACCAAGGCGACCAGGGTAATCATGGCCACCGTGCCCGAATAGTTTGGCGGACGGAATATGCGTATTGTGATATCCGTGCGTTCGGCCACAAACTTGGCAATGGAATCGGCGGCAAAGCCAACGCGATGTATGTCCATGGTATCGGCGCCTTTGGGCTTGCCCTTGGCCGGGAAATGCATGAAAACGGGCGCCGTATTCAGGCGCAGCAGCTGAAACACATCGGAGCCCTCATCGAAATCGACCATGGCAAAGAACAGCTTGTTCGAGTAGATGGGCGAGAAGCGATACGAGTTGGCCACAATGCTGAACTCGTCGTGGGCATGACGACAGATCTGGCATTGGCGGGACGGCGCCAGCGCCGTTAGCATCACAATCATTGAGTAGTTGCGCGGCGTGTTTTTCACATATTCACGAAATTTGGGCCCGTTGAAGCGCAGCAGCGGCTTCTTCATATTCATCTCCACCAGATTCTGCACCTTCTCCGAAAGCGAGAGACCCGTCTGCAAGATATCAACATTAATGTTTACATCTACCGCAAGTCCCGTTGTTGCCGGCTAACGGAACCGGCTAGCTCCCGTTGCTCTGACGTGGCCATATATTCACTGACGAATGTGCGCATACCTTTTGTTTACCCTGTGCTGCGACAAATATTAGGCAGCCGAGTAGCACAATGAGCGCGCACAAGAGCGTCTTGCGCAGCAGCTTCATTTTGTAATGTGATTTACGTTCAAATTTTCACTAATTAGAAGCCAAAATTACAGCGTTTAACATAGAAAAAATGAATTTTGTGTCAGCGCTGCATGCAGCTGATTGTGAATGGCAACTGCGTATGGCGTTGCCAGACCGTCGTTGCTCTGCTTCTTGCTAGTCACACAAGCCGATTGGCGATGTTACGTGCCTATCATGACAATGTGTTTTAGTGCAAATTTTGTGCCGCACTCATCTCTATCGTCAACTATACGCGTTTGCGAGACGCGTTGGTCGACTATTTTTTATTTGTCTTTATTTTAATTTAAATTAAGTATTAGTTTATTTAACTGTGCAGCAGACACGCCGACTGGCATGAGCGATGTATTAAAGAGCTCGCAAGAGCGTTCGCGTAAACGCCGACTGCTGCTTGCCCAAACGGTGGGTGGGCGTCAATTTTCGCCGTCGCCTTATTGTTTTCCTCAAAATAATGCGAATATTTAAATAATTTCAGCTCGGTTTGTCCAGCGTTGACGAGCTGAAAAAGGTGCTGGGCAATGCAGAAGATAGCAACAATTATTCTGGCGTCGGTGGAAGCCGGCAGCTAAATGCATCGGGCCAACGGGACGAGGAGGATGGCGGCAGCGGCGGCGCCTCATCGTCCAAGAAGACACCGAACGAGATTATTTACAGGGACTCGTCGACGTTCCTGAAGGGCACACAGTCTTCCAATCCGCACAATGATTACTGCCAGCATTTTGTGGACACCGGCCAAAGGCCACAAAACTTTATACGCGATGTCGGTCTGGCCGATCGCTTCGAGGAGTATCCCAAGCTGCGGGAGCTGATCAAGCTGAAAGACAAGCTTATCCAGGACACCGCATCGGCGCCCATGTATCTGAAGGCCGATCTCAAAACGTTAGATGTCAAAACCCTGGGCACCAAATTTGATGTCATACTCATTGAGCCGCCGCTGGAGGAATATGCTCGAGCAGCGCCCGCTGTGGCCACCGTGGGCGGGGCGCCGCGCGTCTTCTGGAACTGGGACGACATACTCAGTAAGCTGATCAGCAAGAGCCAATTAAAGACCATATTTAACATTTCTTTGCGTGCAGATTTGGATGTCGGCGAAATAGCTGAGCATCGTTCGTTTGTATTCCTGTGGTGCGGCTCGTCGGAGGGCTTGGATCAGGGCCGCAATTGTCTTAAGAAGTGGGGCTTTCGCCGCTGCGAGGACATCTGTTGGATACGCACAAACATCAACAAGCCGGGCCATTCAAAGCAGGCCATACCCAAATCCGTTTTCCAGCGCACAAAGGAGCACTGCCTGATGGGCATCAAGGGCACGGTGCGTCGTTCCAGCGATGGCGATTTCATACACGCCAATGTGGACATTGATCTGATCATATCCGAGGAGGAGGAGTTCGGTAGCTTCGAGAAGCCCATCGAAATCTTTCATATCATTGAGCATTTTTGCCTGGGCCGTCGGCGTTTGCATTTGTTTGGACGCGATTCGAGCATCAGGCCGGGCTGGCTAACAGTTGGACCCGAGCTGACGAACTCCAATTTCAATGCCGAGCTGTATCAGACCTATTTTGCGGAGGCCACCGCCACCGGCTGCACCAGTCGCATCGAAATGCTGCGGCCAAAGAGTCCGCCACCCAATAGCAAAGTGTTGCGCGGCCGTGGACGCGGCTTTCCGCGTGGTCGTGGCCGGCCCAGATAATGATCACTCCACTGCACGTATTTCTAGTTAATAAGCGCAAAAGTTGTTCACTAAACATGCGATTGATCTTGGAAACGAATGCAGGATTAGTCGGAGGTTTAAGGTACAATTTATACTTGTCATTGTACACGTTATAATGCTAGGATTAAAGCTAAATAAAAAACTAATGCTGCAGACTGGGATGTTGGTTTAGATGCCGCATATAGACGTCCAGCTCATCCTCGTCGCTGGAATTGCTTCGTTCAGGCGCCGCCTTAGCATCAACATCATCATCACTGGACTCAAAGTAGGCATCCTCCTCATCACGTTCGATTTGCTTTAGATCGTCAAGCTGGGCATTGTCGTCGACAGCCGTGTAGTCGAAATCCTTGTCCTGGCCGCTGAGAAAGCGCTCCTTCATCAAGCCCATAAACTCGTTGCGCAGCAGCTCTCTTTCGCCGGGATTGTAATAGTCGGCTGTGGTTATTCGGCTAACTGGCGCTGCGGCATGCTGCGTAGTTCGACTCGTGGAGCAGGCCACCGGCTCATCATCCTCGAAGCCGCCCCATTGCTTGCGGCACGCAGCGGGCACTTCGCAATCCACATTTGCGGCTGGCGCCGGCAGCGACTGCATCTCTGAGCTGCTATCCACCTGCTGCAACAGCTCGTCCCGCTGCTTCTGCTCCAGCGTATGCATCAGTATGCCCGAGAAACTGGTGTTGCGCACATCGTAGCTGTCCCGCTGCTTCCGCTCCTGCTCCGTCAAGTATTGTCCGACCAGTTCCTGGTACAGCTCTGGTGCCCGCTGCATCATTTCGTGCTCGCTGAAGTATTCGCCCTTTTGCAGCAGCTGCTCCATTGCATGGTAGCGTCTATTCTTAACGCAGACCGAGCGTGTGTGCAGCTTCCGCTTGAAGTCTTCCAGCAGCAGGCAAATCTCCTCCAGATTCTCATCGGGCTTGATGGGCTCCTGTACGCCCAGAGACTGAAAGTCGCTTAATTGACGCTCGTCTAAATAGCTGCCGAAGCGTATTAAGAAAGTTTCGCGATTTTTGTGAAATGCATCCTGCGCAATTTGTTGCTTCTCCGACAAGTTTAGCTCGGGATCATCGATTTGTTGCGACTTAAAGATAATGTTGGCATTTTCAGCCAGAGCTCTGAATATATCCACAAGTTGATTGGGTAGTTCGACTTCTTCTGAGCTATTTTCGCTGTTCGCGGCCTCAGTTTGTGTCATTTTAACGAATTAAATATTTGTAAACAAATGCTTCTTCTTCGCTGCAATTCATTCGGCGCGAATTGCGTTTTTTGGAACAAGTTCGCTTAAATGGTTTATTGAAATGAATAACTGAACTTGTTCGGAGTTTTGTAAGCAAAATCAAAATACATTTTAGTATTTTATTGTTTGCCCCGGAGGAATATCAAATATTATTTTATTCAGTCGTTTACAATTTCTTTATATAGTTGATGTATGTATTGTTAAGCAGAGTTTTTTAAGAAGCTTCCTTGTTTCACCACTTTACATACTATATCATCACAATACTATGTCAGATAACTACTTTTATAACCTTGTTCATTTAAATATTAAGATAGTAGTTCCATTTAGGTAGGTACAGAAATGTCATTAACAACTCAAAAGTAGCTAAATAGCTTACTAACTTAACTGTATGAATCATTCAAAAATAACAGAATAACTGAACAAGCAAAAAAACAACAACGTGCAGGAGCAACTAACTAACTAACAAGTGAATAACATGACTGATTCAAAGTTGAACTCAAATTACCAACTGAACGCGCATTTTTGAAATATTACCGATAACGATAAGAGACTAACTTATCGATAACTGCTCTGCGCTCAGAAATGAAATTGCCATTCACGCGTGTACGTTGCAGCTGTTCGTGTGTGATTGTGTGTTGAGGTTTTTTTTTTGGCAGCTCCAGCTGTTCTTTAGTTATAAACAAGAGTGGCGGCAGCTAATCTCCAACGCGCAATCGGTATAATAAAGGGCTTCTTGCAATAGTATTTATCACTGCTTGCGGCCCGACCCGCGCGCCCCTTTCACAGCGCGGCAATCGCAAATGATGACTAAGAAACAAAGCTGCGTGAAAAAAAGAGGAAAAAGTCCCAAATTCGCTTTCGTTTCGTTTCGGCCTAACTAAATACGATGTCGAACATTGATTGGAATTTCGCATGGAACTGGACACACTTCTGTCCCACAGGCCTGAAGCCATTCGCCAACGACACCAACGATCTGTTGCCCTGCTTCCAGAAGACGCTGCTCCAGCTGCCCGTCTATACGATCTTTGCATCGATATCCGCCTACAATTTCGGCAATCAGACGCAGCAGATAGTGCGCAATAGCCTCCAATTGCAATTGCTGGCATTGCGCATTGTATTTAGTATTATTTTGGCACTGTTGCCCGTATCCAAGATATTTGTATTCCATCGCGCTGGCATCGATTTGTATGCGGTCGATGTGCTTGTCGTCAGCGCCGAGTGCATCATGTGGATTGTGCACTGCGGTAAGTTTATTATTGGAAGGTGTCAAGTTGTCTGTCGTGTCATTGACTTCCCTCTTCCAGGCTATCTGCTGACGGCGCGACATTTTGGCACGCTGAGCCATCGTGGCCCGCTGTTGATGAATGTCGTTTGGCTTATGGTCGTGGTGCTGGACGGCGTTTGGCTGCGCACCAGTCGCCACTTTGAGTGGTGGCCGTGGAGCCTGGCGACATTGCTGTGCGACCTGTGCTACGCCGCCACGCTACTGCCCAAGGGGAATGCCATCTTGTGCTCCAGCACCACAGGCGCCAGAGATCGCGAGCAGGAGGCGTTGCTGACCAATCGCTATACCTACTTTCACTTTGAGCTGAACGAGGCGCTGCTGGGTCATGCCCAGGACGAGGCCAATTGGCCGTCGCGTTTCGTGTTCCACTGGGTGCAGCCGCTGATAAGCAAGGGCGTGGCCGGCAAACTGCGTCGCATCGAGGATTTGTTTGATCTGCCCGATGCGCTAAACATCACACGCCTCAGCGAGCGACTGCATCTGGCGCTGTCGCAATCGCAGAGCATATTCCGTGCGCTGCACAAGTGCTTTGGCCTGGAGTTCTATTTGATCGGACTGTTGCGCCTCGTAGCGGACATATCCAGCTTTGCGGGTCCGCTGCTGCTCGGCGGACTGCTGCGCCAGGACAGCAATCAGGACGGACAAACAGACGGCAGAGCTTATTACTATGCCCTGGGCCTGTTCGGCAGCACCTTGCTGTCGGCGCTGTGCGGCTGTCATTTCGATTGGCGCATGGCCATGGTCAGCATGAAGATGCGCGTGGGCGTCGTCAATAGCATCTATCGCAAGGCATTGGAGGCGCGCGGTGTGCGCGAATCACGTCCGGATATGCTTAACCTTATGTCCACCGATGCGGATCGCATTGTCAACTCGTGCATTAGCTTCCACTTCTTCTGGAGCATTCCATTCAAGCTGTTTACCACATTGTATCTGCTCTATCTGCAGCTGGGCGCCGCCTTCCTGGCGGGCGTCATATTTGCCGCACTGCTGATACCCATCAATCGCTGGCTGGCCAAGCGCATCGGCATCTATTCGACAGGCCTGATGACAGCCAAGGATGCGCGTCTCTCGGCCACCACAGAGACCATGCAGGGCGCCAAGCAAATCAAGACCAATGCCTGGGAGCCCATATTCATAACCAAAATCCGTGCACTGCGCACCACGGAGCTGAAGTTTCTGTCCAAGCGCAAATATCTGGATGCCATGTGCGTTTATTTCTGGGCAACGACCCCGGTGCTCATGTGCCTGCTCACATTTGGTGTATCCGTGTTGCTGGGCAATCCGTTAATTGCCTCCACGACGTACACGAGCGTCGCGCTGCTCTACATGCTGATCGGACCGCTGAACGCCTTTCCGTGGGTGCTCAATGGTCTGATCGAGGCGTGGGTATCGTTGCGACGTGTACAACAGCTGATGGATGTGCCAAATTTGGACTATTCCAGCTACTATAATCCCATTATGCGCGGCAGTGCAAGTCCGGCTGGCACGCCCAGTGTGCTGCAAATGAAGTCGGCCCACTTTGTGCACGATACGGAACACAGCGATAGCGACAGCGAGACAACCATTTCCCAGTTTCGTCTGAGCGACATCAATTTGGACATCAAGGCCGGACAACTGATCTGCATTGAGGGTCCCGTTGGCGGCGGCAAAAGCAGCCTGCTGACGGCCATCATAGCCGGTCTGCAGTGTCTCGATGGCGAGGTGTGCGTCCAGGAGCTGACCACCGGCTTTGGCTATGTGCCGCAATCGCCATGGCTGCAGCGCGCCACGATACGCGACAATATCGTGTGGGGCAGCAACTTTGACGAGCAATGGTACAGGACCGTGCTGCATGCGTGTGCACTCAACGAGGATATACGCATCCTTGGCGGTGATCTCATGGGCGTTGGCGAGAACGGACGCACACTGTCCGGCGGGCAACGGGCACGGGTGGCCCTTGCGCGTGCCGTTTACCAGAACAAGAAGGGTGAGCATGTTGCAAGTCCGATCTCAATTATTTTTATTTACATGATTCTTATTCTCTTCCAGTTTATCTGCTGGACGATGTGCTGTCCTCGCTGGACGCCCATGTGGCCAAGCACATTATACGCCACTGTCTGCTGGGCCTGCTCAAGCAGAAGACGCGCATTGTGGTCACGCGCAGCACCCAGCTGTTCTTCCATGCCAATCAAATACTGCACGTCCAGGATGGCCAGCTGCGGCCCAGTGACTACATGACCGAGAGCATTGACATGAGTTCCGAGGAGGAGGAGCAGGAAGAGGACGAGCAAGCGCTTGCGTTGCGTCGGCCGTCCGTGGAGCTGCCCAATGCGGCGGACGTGGATAAACGCAGCGTGGACAGTCTGCTGCTGGAGGAGTCGCGCGAGTTCGGGCATCTGTCTACCAATGTGTTTGCCTGCTATTGGCGCGCCGTCACCGCACCGCTGGCCTTCACCGTGCTGCTGTCCGTGCTGCTCATGCAGCTGACACGAAATCTGAGCGACGCTTGGCTGGCGCACTGGGTCACGGACACAACGCTCGACGGTCACACGAATGACACGTCGCTGCAGCATCAACTTATGCGACCTGGCAGCTTCGACAATGAAAGCACCGCTGCGCATACAACTGG